TAGAGCTCCAACTAAAACAACTTGTCCCCAAACAAAAAAGATATCCATAGGTGCTTCTAGAATCATCAACTCCGCCACCCCAATCACTATCAGAGTACCCGATCAGGTTCACAGTTACTTCGGCAGATGTTGGGAAAAAAGTTCCAAACTTGCTGGTTCCTTTAATATACCTTAACACTCTTTTAGCCGTTGTGAAGTGTGTGTCTCTAGGATAACACATGAACCTAGAGAGCAAACTTACAACATATATAATGTCAGGTCTGCTTGCGGTTAGATATAGAAGACTGCCAATTAAGCTTCTATACATACTATCATCCACTTTTTTGGAATCCTCATCCTTGCCAAGCTTCACACCCGTAGAGATTGGAGTACTCACATGTTTGCAGTCTTGCATTTTGAAGCTGTTTAGAATATCCAAAATGTATTTCTGCTGGCATATGAAAATTCCATCACTCGACTGCAACACTTCCATGCCAAGAAAGTACTTCATGACTCCAAGATCAGTCATTTCAAAGATTTTCTCCATTTCATCCTTGAACCTTTGGATTAGTTCAATTTTCCTTCCTGTCACAGGCATGTCATCCACATAAATTGAGACAATTAAGGACTCACCTGCAGTGACATTCACAAACAGAGTAGCTTCACTTTGACTTCTACTAAAGCCAAGTTGGATGAGATGATTGTCCATCCTCTCATACCATGCCCTTGGGGCTTGTTTTAGGCCATACAAGGCCTTCGTTAAGAGATAAGGTTGATCCTCTTTTCCAAGAATTGAGAAACCATCAGGTTGCACTAGATAGATCTCTTCAGCAAGCAAACAATTCAAAAAAGATGATTTGACATCAAGTTGATGAATCTTCCAGGAACTATGAGATGCAAATGCAAGAATAAGCTTGATTGTATCATACCTTGCTACAAGAGCAAATGTTTCCTGGTAATCCACACCATATTGTTGTGTGTATCCCTTCACCACTAATCTAGCCTTATGTTTGCAAATTGTTCCATCAGGATTGAGTTTTGTCTTGAATATCCATTTTAGACCAATCACCTTGCAATTTCTAGGTCTGTCAACAAGCTGCCAGGTTCCGTTCTTCTCGATCATGTCTAGTTCATCTTGCATAGCTCTCCTCCATGCCTGAGAGTCTTGTGCTTCAGCATAGCTTGTTGGTTCAGAGGTAACCAAGTTACACCGCTGATAGAAATCTTTCATGGATTGAGTTCCCCTTATTGGTTCATCATCCACTAGTTCATCTTTTGAAAGTTGAGGCTCCTCTTTTGAAAATAAATCAGAATAAAAGGTCTTCTAATTTTTCCAATCCCAACCAGCTGCTTCATCAAACTTCACTTCTCGGCTGAGAATTAGTCCTCTTTGTTTCTGGAACTCGATAATAACATATACACCCAAAGATTCTGAGATGGTGTACTGATGGTTTGTTCCCACACCAAGCTTCATATGGAGTCATGTCCTGTAGGGCCTTAGTAGGCAATCTGTTCAGCAAATATACAGAGGTATTAACTGCCTCCGCCCAAAACTGATTTGGGATCTTTCTTTCGAGCAAAAGACATCTGGCCATCTCCATTACTGTCTTGTTCTTCCTTTCAGATAAGCCATTTTGTTGTAGAGTGTATGGTAATGTCAATTGGCGTTCAATACCTATGCTATTACAAAACTCCACAAACTGAGAAGAAGTATATTCTCCTCCATTGTCAGACCTTAAAGCCTTAATACTAAGATTACATTAATTTTCTACTAAAGCTTTAAATTGTTTAAAAACATCAGAGACTTCACTCTTCATTCTAATGAAATAAACCCAACACATTCTGGTGTTGTCACGACTCGAGAGCACCCCCAAGTCGTAACATGTGTATTCGACCTCTCGGACGTCTTATACAAGCCCTAAGTATTCATCACATTAGATATGTAAAATAGTGCGGAATTAAGAACTCTTTAAAACAAAATCCATAAGACTCAAAGGTCATACTTTTTTTAAAGACATCTTTCAAAAGTACACAAGCGGAATACTAAGTCTCTTAGCCATCATAGACATAAACCTGAAAACGGAATACTAAGTCTCTTAGCCATCTTAGACATAAACCTGAAAACATACTAGGGGCACGGCCCTTTACAATCAAAAGAAGTCTATTAAGTCTATTACAAGAACCTTATCATAACACTTAGAATAGAAAAGTCTTGCCCTCGACATATGAGGACATACCACAAAATCTAGGAAGAACTTCAAATCCCAAGCTTACTATAAAACCCGCTCACTTGCCGGAACATACACTTGTAGAAAATAGAGAAAATATGGAATTAGCACAATTAAGTACTAAGTATGATGACCATGCAAAAACATGCTAAAACAGACATTTATTTGAGATATATGCTTTCATGCCATTTTTGATAAAACCTTCATTTCACAATTATAAGAGATACATTTCACGTCATCATCCACATATAAGACAATACCCACATAATAGACATACTCAAATAGTACCAATGTACAACACATAAACATCACAAGTAAGCCTTTTCATCATTTAATGACCTCTATCTCCAGTTACCCAAAGCCACACTTAAGTGAAACATGAAGTAATCGCCCATACAATCTCTTTATATACACCTAAGTGTTCCTAAGGGTTACCATAGATAAGGAATGTACCATTACGATATAACATGCTAAGTCAAAATTCTTTAATGAACCACTTAGGAGACATTTAAGCATTTAGGGGACTTTCACATAATAGCCATTTAGACTTAGGGAACTCACTTTAGCATCTTCTAGGACTACTCGAGCAATGTGTAGATAGCATCCCATACTACCACCTACACTTTGTAGAACCTATCCAATAACTAGAGTGCACATCCCACATGATGGGAATAGGCATTAACCGACATAGACCATACTAGCTAGGCATGGAATTCGGAGTCTACCCTACTCCGTGGAAGGTGTTCTACTTGCCAAAGGTAGAACTAATAATCAACCCATGTAGGCACATGGTTTAGGGGATGTCTAAGGATGTTCATTGTGCCCTAGTCTCATACTTAAGTAGGGCCACCATCCTAACCACATCTACTCGGTGCTTAGCCTTAGTTCCCATAGAGTAATTCATTCACATGTATGCACTAGAGTGGACCCCATTTCTAAGTTCGGCCAACTCATAGTAGTTCTACCAAGAAGGGCTCCATTTCTTAGTTCTAGCCGATCAAGTTTCATTAAGGATAGCTCATTGACTTTCTTAGAGAGAGTTTGTTACCATGCTGGTCCACCATCTCTAAGTCTATCATTTCACACAAGAAGAAGGTCATTACCCCTAGGGTTCACCACTTCAAGGTTTAACATTCACATTTAGGAGTCTAGACTTACTCATGAAAAGGGTACCATGCTAGGTCTAGCCTATTCAAGATATAATCTAGAAGTACTCTTTTATCATTCATAGAAAGGGAACCATGCTTAGGTCTACCGATCCTAGACATTCATTCATTCAAAGAGCTTTCAAGTAACAAGAAGGGACATCTAAGTCTACCAAGAAATTCACAACATTTCCATATAGGGACTCTTCATAGTCCAACATCATCACATATGAACATTTAAAGAGAACATACTTTCAATTACACTACAAGAACACTTTGTACAAGATCACCTTATAACCCATAAGAATACCTTCACATATTTACCTTCGCATAGTACAATAACATTTCATAACTTGATAACACTTTAATTCAATAGATAATGCCTTCAAGTCCATGTTCATAATACATTCCATAATTAAACACCTCCACCATAGGTGGATCAAACCAAGCAAGAACAATTTTATCCATAATATGAGATTAAGCCAACTTACCATCCCTCCAAAAGCCATAATCAACAACATTCAAGTCCCAACCATTTTACTTACCACAAGAGAATTCATCCATAACTTGCCCATAAGGCCACAACTTTCAATTCATCCATACATCATCAATGCATCATAGATATATGTAGAAAATCATAAGCATCACTAATACAATCCAATCCAAACACAATTTCATAAACTTTGAATCATAAGCAAAAGACCCACTTCATAAGCAAATTTAGGAATTTAGGGAAAACATGGGTTCTTCAAGGAATTCCATACGAAATCATCTTAAAAACATTAATCAAACATTAATTTATCAATATAATGTCTTAGAAAACGTTTTGCCAATGAACCCATGCTTAGATTAGAATTTGAGATTTTTGTTCTTTGAAACACTTTTGAAACCCTTTTGATTGGACTCCTTGAAAGAAAGATTGATCAAGGATCAAGGGTCACCATACCTCTAAGTTGAAAACCCACGAAAAATTGAAGAAGAAAGCACTCGAAATCTTCAACCCTAGCTCCAACTTGACCTTGGTCTTCAATGGTGTTCTAGAGAGAACCCTTCCTCTTTTTTTTTGAAGAATGAATTAAAACAATACCTTTTTTAAAAGTTTTAATACCATATATAGAAATTAGAAATAATATAAAATGTACCCAGTTCTTAATTTAACTAAAAATTAATATTTACGAAAACCGCCCCTTGCCCACATGGACTTACCAATATATGCTTAAACTTTTAAAATTCATACGTTAGGCTCTAGTTTCACCTATCAATTTTTAGGGTCGCTACAGGTGTAGTCATCAATAAAGAAGAGAAAGTATTTGGTACCACTCAATGAATCTGTTTTCATTGGGCTGCAAACATCTGTATGAATGAGCTGAAGTTTTTGGTTAGCTCTCCATACTCGATTTGCTTGAAATGGCCATTTTGTTTGCTTTCCCTGTTGGCAAGTTTCACACACTTGAGCATTAGAAAGAAATTCAGGCATACTTTCCACTAGCTCCTTCTTTTTCATCTCTGCGATGCTTCTCATATTGAAGTGACCAAACTTTTTGTGCCATAGGTTTGTACATGTTTGTGAAGTAAAAGTTTAAGCCCCCTCAGTTATTTTCTCCCAATCAACTGAAAACATTTTGTTGCTTATCTTGACATAAAATAATTATACTCCAGAAGGGTCAAAAACAACACATTCACGATTCTTAAAATGCAGAGAATAATTATTTTCAAGCATTTGTCCAACACTCAACAAATTTTGACTCATATCAAGTGTGTACAAAACATCAGGAATAGTTTTGATACTAGATATTGTTGAGATAGACATTGTACCTCTGACTTTGGCTTCTACTGCCTCACCATTTCCCACTTTTACTTTAGATTTGTATGTATCATCGAGGAATTTGAACATTTCAGCATCATTGCACAAGTGATGTGTGCAACCACTATCAAGAAGCCATGAATCAAAGAATTCATTGATTGAAAAGTATGAAACTGCAAAGAGTTGCTCCTCATGTGCATTTGCAGCTTCTGCTACTTGTGCTTGCAAAGCACTAGAGGCCTTTGCTCTTGATTTGCAGACCTTGGATATGTGCCCCGTCTGCTTACAGTTGCCACATATAGCATCAACCCTCCACCAACAGTACTTCTCCAGATGTGTAGTTCTTTTACAATGTTTGCATGGAGGGAACTTCTTCTTCACATCTCCATTATTATTTCCCCCATCATGCTTTCCCTTATTCTTTTGGTTGACATGTTGCTTTCCTTTACCAAATATTTGTTTTTGTAAAGAGAAAGCTCCTTCAGTGAACTTGTCCCGTCTCATAGTCCTCCTTTGCTCTTGTGCTTGAAGAGCACTCATTAGTTCACGTAATGAAAGTTTGCCCAGGTCCTTGGATTCCTCAAGAGAGGAAATCTTAGATTCAAACCTCTCAGGAAGAGTCACAAGAACTTTCTCCACAATTCGTTTGTCTGTAAATTCTTCACCAAGAAGTCTAATGTTATTAACAATTAAGGATATTCGATCAGCATACTTACTAATTGTTTCATCGTCCTGCATATTCAAGCACTCGAAATCTCTTTTCAGGTTCAACACTTGCATTTGATGTGTTCTATCACTGCCTTGATATTCTTCTTTCAACCTATCCCAAGACTCTTTTGCCGTTTTGCAAGCCATGATTCTGTAAAACACAGAATCTGCCACAGCATTCTGCATAAGCGACTTGGCTTTGGATTTCTTTGGCTTTTCTTCGTTGTTGGATTTGATTTGAGCCAAAGTAGGATTTGCTAGTAGAGCAGCAAGTGCTTTATCTTCCGTCACAGTTTCCCAAAGTTCATAGGCTTCCAGAAAAGGTTGCCTCTTCACAGACCAGATTTGGTAATTTTCATCAGTGAAAGTGAATGGTGGATTTAAAGGTAGGTTGTTTGATACCATTTTTGTTGTAGGTTAAAACTTTTTGGTCCTGTAAGATCAACTAGAGGCTCTGATGCCACTGTTAGAAGAAAAATACTCAAGAAACTGATTTGAAGAATAAAAATAGAGTGAACTTATAAAATTCCAGCTATGTATTAATTTGCATAAGATCTGAATTTATACAAGGAAAAACCTAACCATTTCCTATCTAGTAGCCACTTACAAAAGTGGATGTTAAAACTAAATAAGAACATGTGCCACTAACAACCATAAAAAGGGGCCACTAACAGCCATTAAAGGGCCACTTACTTCAGAAAGTTGAGCAACTAAAGTTGACTAAGTCTAGCTAGAAAATAGGAAGCACTAAACTGAAATAAGTAAAAACAGTAAAAATAATAAGCTGGAATAAATGCCAATTGTCTAACACCCTCAAAGTTCAGAGAACTTCCTGAGGCGCTCTAGCTGGCGCGACGCACCAGAGGCCAAAGTTCATAGGAACTTTTGTGGCGCTCTAGCAGGCCCGACTCCCCTAGCCCTTGCCCAAAAAATCCCCGTTTTTTCTCCTTCGTTTTTCATCTCTAAACTCTCTAAACTTCCATAGTTCTTTCCCCAAACACTTAGGATTATTAGTACCCTCAATACCCAATAGATTTAATTCAAAAAACAACCTAGAAACACTAATCAAATCAACACTAGGCATTCAACAATGTTCTTCAAGAACTTCACTTTCTTAGCATTCAAACAACTCTAATTTTGCTGAAGTGAAACAAGTTTGGCGTGTGGGTGAACTAACCCAACACTATGTGATCTCACATACCTTGTTGGGATCACCCCTGACAAATTCCACTCGCAAAGCTTGAACGTTCTTGGCGATTTCTTGATTTCTCTCCTCTTTTCTCTTCTTTCTTCTCCTCTCCAAGCCCTAGCGTAAATTCTATTTTTTCTAAACTGAATAAAGTCTTGTTTTACCCCAATTAATTCCTAAAAACGAAATAGGCAAATTAGGTAAGGAAAAGAGTAGTTTACCCTTCACAAATCTGGATTTGGACATTCCTTAATCCAACAGCCCAACTTCCAAGGGGTATAACTTACTCATACGAACTCGGAATCGCGCAAACTTGGCGGCGTTGGAAAGATCATTCCAAGAAATTTCCAACCATATCTGGAACTACACCTAAATCATCCTGATCTAGGAGTTATGGTTGTTTGAAGTTGACCAAAAACTCAGTTTAACTTACTTAAAATTTTTCCAGATTTCCTTATACTTTCCAAAAATGACTATTTCCAGCTTTTAAACTTCTTTCTAGTTCTTTCGAGTAGCGAGATGCTACAGAGACATTGTATCATCACATAGCTCATAGAGATGGTTGTTGGTTAGAGAATCTCCCAAATAAGAATAAAGATTTATTATTGTATTCTAATATACATGTGAGTTATTATCTACAGTTTTAAAAGTTTCATGTATATAGCATCTTTTGTTGTTGCTTTCATTATGAGTTGAATTTAGTATCGTAAGTTGAGTGAAGTATTTTGAGCTGAGTTGTGTATCCTTGAGGTTAGTTAAGTATTCCTGATTTGAGTTGATTATTCTTGAGTCATCTTACGTTGAGACGAAGTGAGTATGTCTTCCTTATTATCAGTTCGAGCTTATACTTATGTTGCAGATTTCTCCTTACATGCTCGTATATTTCATGTACTGACGCCATTTGGCTGGCATCATTTCATGATGCAGATACAGGTATTCAGGATTATCAACATGTGTTTCGTTCTGGTCCTATGATATTCCAGTCAGCTTTGGTGAGCCTTCTTACATTTCGGAGGACTTCACCTATGTAGTTTTGAGATGTTATGGATCCTATCCCAATATCCTTCTGTAATATTAGAGGCTTTATAGATAGACAAAGTTGAGGAGTTGTTTATATTTACTTTCTTTTGAGTTGTTTTACAAACTTTGAGTATATATATGTTTAGTATTGTTCAAACTTTTTAAAGTTGAATAGTCAAGTTCAATGAATTTAATTTAGTATTAAGCTTATGTATTCTTGAATTAGTCTTCCGCTTGTAGTCAGCCAGGATGAGGGTTCACTTGGGACCTGCAATGGTTCTTGAGTGGCGGCCACGTCTACGGTGTAGACTCGGGTCGTCACAATAATTGTGAAGAATATCTTGTAAATAAATATTTTTATGCAAGAACTTCTAATACAATACATAAGAAATAATCTATTTATAGTTAATGCAAGAATTATTAATACACTTTATTTAGAATTATTCTTACACACTATACCAAACGGCCCCTTAGTATTAATATTACTCATTATTAGGAAAGTTACCATTATTAACCAAAATCTATTTTTAATGCACAAGAAAGCCACCTACGAGTAAATTTCTATTCTATGTTCATGTTTGCCCGAAAAATAATTGTTTAACAAAAAAAGTTTTAATATTTTAAATTTGATGGGGTTGGCTCCGCAGATATTTGTGATTACACTCGTCAAAGTGATGGAAAATCTGGGGAGGTATTCCAACTTTGTGCAAGAGAGTATGATGGGATATCCAATTTGAATGTTGATATAGTTCCTATAACTATGAAAGCTGATATTTGTACATTTTTTATATTTCACTGATTTTGAAGGTTTGCATATGATGATGATTCCTTAATGTAAATTTGTTATCAACGTTAGAAAATTGTTAGATATGACCTTGTAGGATACGTGCAATTCTCTGTATAATTTTCACAAGGATGATGATGACAGTGACAGGGAACCTTCAGGAAAGAAAAAAGAAGTTATGTAGTTGTTCTATGTCAACTGTATGATCATTGTTTAGGATGTTTGGAATTATGAAGTAAGTTGTTTAAATGCTTGGCTATTTTCTTTGTGCTCGTTCAACATGCCAGACTCCTTCTGTTTTCTATGTTAAATTAATTTTGAAGTTTTCACTTACTGTTGACATTATATATTTTATAGTTTTATTAATAAAATATTTCCTATGTAGTTATGTGGAGAATACACAGAACCTGGGATACTCAAGGATGAGTTTTTTTGCATCATATATAATATAATCTCATAGTTAGGAGTCATTGTTTCGAAATGCCTCTAGAGGTGACTAGTTGATTATCATTTTATTTATACAAAGGGTTTCAACACATGAATAAGATTGATTAATGACATAACCACTCCTCAAATCTCGCTCAAACATTTCCCATTGTTTTTTAGCTTAAAGAGTGTGAAGGGTATTATTGAAAACAAATGTTTTTTATGGAAATTATTGAATGCATTTTATTTTTAATAGACAAAACAAAACATTGCATAAAAAGTAATATTAGCATAACTTATGTAGTCATTACTAATACACTATATTCATCATTATTCTTATACACCCAATCAAACCATCCATTATATTATTTTTGTAGGTTCCTCCTTTTTTGGTATAACTCTTGTGTACAGGAAGTTGAGATTTCTTATATTAATGAAACTCATTGATTGATTAAAACAATAGTAATAAATTTTTAAAAATGGTAAGAGTAGGTCAGTTTGTGTTATGAACCATTGTTTTCATATTTTTATGTAATCCATGATAATTATGAACTTGAGATGTTCGGTTATATAACACTTTTTTTTATCTTTATTAAGTTTCTCCACCCACAACATCATTGTAAGCTTTTGTTCCTCCAAGTGCTTACCGAGAGGTATTTCTGAGCAATGATGCATAATCATAAACATTAGTATTCTATATTATTCTTACTTGTTTAGTTTTTGTAATTTTTTTATGTAGATCTTCAAAAGCCTCTAAGCCATTTGATTTTCCTTCAGCCTAATTACATTGGTGATACTCTTGTTTCATTTTGAAAATTTTATCAATTATTTCTTTGATACTTGTGGAACAATAGGAAAATGGTTTTCCACTTGGTGAAAAGACCATTACACCAACATTTGCTTTGGTTCAAGTCGCAAGTTTATATACATTATGGAACAAAGTCTTCTTTTGATAAACTAACAATGCGTGCTTTCTCAGACATAATGAATATAAACTTGCAACTCGGACCAGAGGGAATGTTGGTTTTATAGTCTTTTCACTAAGTGTAAAACCGGTTTCCTATGGTTCCACAAGTATCGAAAAAATAATGGAAAATTTTTCAAAAGTGAAAGTAGAGGATTTCCAACATGAATATACTTAGGGAAATTCTAATTGGTTTGATGCATTGGAACATATCCATAAAAAATTATGAACATTGGATGAGCAAAAAAAAAGTGAATACTAATGTAAAAGACTATATACCCTAACTCACAAATACGTCTAGATAAATATATGGAGGAGCAGAAGTTGGCAATTAAGTTGTAGGTTGAGGTTGTTAAAGAAAAAATAGGAAGTGTATTAGAGGACCCCTTCTATTTTTGTTTGTAGGTTCATCATTTTTTGGTATAACTCTTGTACACGACAAGTTGGCCTTTGTTTTATTAATGGAACTCTTTCCTTGATTAATACAATAAACAAACAAATTTATTAAGGGCAAGAGTTGTGCTGGTAGTGTTGTTATGGCCTATTATTTATCATATATTTATGTAACCCATCTCAATAAGAATTTTTTTTGTGTTGGATTGGAAAATGTCTCATTTATTGATTAAATATATTTTGACAGGCCAAATTCATTTTAAATTGACAATTTTCCTGCTTGGCTAACCAACATGTTCATACATTTGCAACCTCAACGTCCACTATGGTAAATATATTTTCATATGGAGATTGTAATGCATTGACGGTTTATGAGGGAAAATAATAATGAAGGGATTGTTATTCAGTGATTAATAATTTAGAGATTGTTATACATTTATATATTACTTTCTTTGAAATAATATTTTTTTTACTATCTACATACCTAATGCACATAGTTTTATTCCACAATCTAATAAATATAAAATAATACTAATCATTAGTAGATGTTTTATAAACTCATATTACAAAAATATTCCACCATCACACTTAGAGCTAGCTTAGGTGTAAAATCTAAATGCATCATTCTT